CTTCATCTACACTCCTATAATGTGGGGTACGCGAAAGACTTACCTCCACGCGGTGCACCCTAATCAACATATACGTATGCGGCAAAAAGGTCTATTAACCGGCAATTAACTCCAAACTATCATGACCCGACTATCATAACCAACCACTTTCGCAGTACTCAACATACTTTACCTTTTTCTTTACATTTATGCCTTTCCATATAAAATATGTGAATCACTCTACTGTTCCTCCTCCCTCTCGACATTTTCTGACTTTGATGTTCCTTTCCTATGTTAAACCCGAAGTCAGCTAAAGGGCTAATGATAACTATCAAACGGCCTGCCTTTTGTTATGAATAAATACTTCTCTAATTTGAAGATGCCTAGTTTTTTTCCGGCTTTAATATATCTACCCAAGAAGCTAACATTTGATTACAGCGGATTCAGACAAAAGAGAGGAGGTTGAGAAGGTTTACAGTTAACTCAAATAAATTCTTTTATTAGCGAAGTGGGAAACTATGCAGGAATGCAGACTGCCTTTATGCTGTTGTTATCGATATTGAAAGTCTTAACCACTACTAGCTACAACAAATTCAATCCCAGACTAACCGTCGAACTGATTATTTGTAACGAATTTAAGTCTCCTAAGTGGATACATCCTTCCACACACTGAACATTATGAAGTATCTTAGCCATACCACAGATAATAAATAAATTGATGAAAGCCTATTTTACATAGGTAGTATCGCGTCCTCAAATACTTCTGGTCGGAAATGTTTATTACAATTGTGTGGAATAAAGATAACTTCTCACTATGACCTGTTTCAATATCATGTACTCGTATGTAAATTTCACATGACTTGCATCAGTTGTTATTTAAGGCTTGAGGCGATGCAAACTTTGGATTGTTATTTTGAGTTCTTTTACACTGGGCTTTCAACCACTCCACTGCCCTTTCCTTCCCCAGTCTTTCTGCACTGCCCCGTAAGATAAGTCTATTTCCTCTAACGATTAGATGCCTTTCGACTGTCACTCAACCCGACTACGAATCTCGAGCGCAGTCACAAGCAGCCATCTTAAATGAACTCGCCAATTTGTACTGCAATAGTGGCTTTGTTATTCAACTTATTTCCAGTTGTGCTATTTTAATCAAGAGTGCACTTCTCCGACTATGTTCCAATAACTAATGCTGGGGGTGGTGGTGGTGGGGGGGGGGGTTTCGATATGCACTAAATACCTTTGCATTTATAATCACATCAAGCAGAGAACAATCTTTAACACAATTAACCGAAATTTAATTCAGTATTTATATGTATATAGATATATATATATATATATATGTGTTGCACCATAGAAGGGCATTTATAACTCCTTAGAGGTAGAGATGGCGACGAAAAGCATTTCGAAAAAGTGCGTCAAAGAGGTGAAATAAGAGGCAAAGAAGATAAAGTCGATAAAATATAGTTGTTTTAAGATAACATAGAGGTGATAAATGGAAGTTGAAAGGTAGGGTGTAAAAGCGTGCTAAAACAAACAACACAACCACGCTCTCTCTCTCTCTCCCTCGAGGGAAGAGAATTGAACTAGACACTTAGCACAACACCTAGTCTGGGTGTCTACTGAGGATGTACATTAGTAGTATTCATTGTGATAATAACGATGTTTAATTCTATATATCGCCAAATATGCCAGCAAAAGTCTTTCGCAGATTCTTCATGGTGTCCTCGCCATCGTCTGGATTACCAGATGATTGTTGAGTGGTTGGTCTAGGTCGTGGAGCAGTAGAACTTGTGCCTGACATGGAAGTATTGGAAGCTGACGAGAACTGAGATGTCTGACCAAATGGAAGTTGAGATTGTGGAACACTCCATGGATCATTATGCTGTGGCTTGCTCGATGATTGACCGAAATCCATGGAGGGTCTATAAATTTCAAAAAAATATATTTAAAAGTTTCATTGCGTGTATCAGAGCACATTCAATCTAACATTTATGCAGAGTTTACGTCTGCATAGCTACTGACCTTATTTGGGTCACTTTGATCTCCCCTAATTTGTAAAGTATTATATTTAGTTTACCGTTAGCCGCTTAAGAGTAAAGTTGAGTGAGCAAAATTTCCAAATTTTTAGCTAATAATAAACGGATTTAAATTAAAAGGCGAAAATAGATGGTTGGACAATTTTTCACTAATACTATCCAACCTTGACTGATATATTGTTTAATATTAACTTCACATGCGGATATACGTGTTTAATGTTGAAATAAAGTACAATTAAATTTAAGTATCACTACTAACCTAGCAATTAAATCGTCCGATTTACATGGAGATTGTCACCCAGAAATCCATGGATAACGCCAAATAAAATGATAGCACAAAGTGAATTATACGGGTGGATTCAACCAAAGCATGACTCGTGACAAAGAGACTTCTTTATGCCCTCCTGTTTGATGGTCACCTTTCACCTTCTTTATCGAATTGCAATTTTACTTATAAAATTATGAAGATTTTTTACATATTTATGTGCGTATAGTTAATAAGTACCCTTCGAAACCCCCAATTTTAGAACTAGAACAAAACTGGAGCTCATGGAAGTAGGGTCTAGAGAGAAAGTCATCCCGGTGCCCTGAGAGTTCCCTTCTTCAAGGGCTCAAAACAGAGATATTATAAGCACGCTGCTTCTGAGATATTGGTAGTGGGAATGAATGCGAGAGATACTCTGCAAAAATCTAACACTTGGCAAGCTGGATGCTTCCCCTTACGCCCTTCAAAGCTTCTCCCTTTCCCTTTGTAAATAAAGTTTGCAATAATAATAATTTCTTCATCACATCAGATTTTGTACATGCTGACAAGGAGACGCCGAGACTGTAAAATATCAATTCATGGTTCACAACTAATTTCAACTAGCAAATTCCGTATGCATAAAAAAACGCGATAAATAGAATTGAATGGAGCTCAAAATCACATGTAAATTAACTTGCAACTTTTATTCCCTTAGTAGCTAGGCGGAGTTGGATAGAAACTAGGTTAATGCGATGAACTATTGTAAGTTATTTACTGTCTATGAGAAGAGTATGACTACTAAAGAAAAGTGACATTTTGGAAGTCGAAGGTCATTGGGTTTATGCCTTTTGTAGCAGAGAACGCACTTTTGCTTTCCATGTCAGTGTCTTGGAAAATATTTTTATCAATGACAACCAGAAAGACACTTCCTACATTTCTGGGCGCGGAATGGAAACATGCATTCAACCATAAAAACCTAATTAATAATTAAATAAAGAACTATTTACTAAGCATTAATTAAGTAATACTTGAATTTTCAAAAGCAATATAAACTCATTGATCAATCTAAAACTGATAAATACGCCATTTTTATACAAGTAGAAAAGTATTCTCACGAGTTGAAGTTCATGGAATCGCCAGCGTCCATTCCCCCCTGCGAGTGACTCTGGAATGTGCTCATTGCTGAAGATGGTTTGCTCTGGGTTTGTGGTTGGAAGATATTAGCTGAAGGATCAAAGATATTTGTACTTGTCACAGAGGCACTCGACCCCGAGCTGCCGCCGAAAGTGTCAAAATTCCGATTTTCAAAGCTGTTTGTTAAAGAGGGTTGTCTTGGTGGTTGAGGAGCAGCCTCCTTCTTTCTTCCTGTGCCGTCTAAGGATGGTTCTCTAACTGTACGGCTTGGGCCAGTCGACCATGGATCAGGAGTTTTTCCCTCCGTATTTGAACGTAGCATGCCAGCTGTTGAACTGGTCGTTGAACCAACACCAAAGGTATCCTCATTGTCTCGTCCAAAGTTCATTCTACTTGATTGAGAAGGTGTACTAGAAAAGTCCATTGAAGCGTTCATTGTTGGAGTAATTTTAGATCGATCAAATGAATCTCGACTAGAAAACTCGTTTCTTGAAGCCTGTGATGGTGAATCAAATATTGATTGGGCCTTTTGTTGAGTTTGAAGTAGCGGACGAGACTGCCCGAAATCCATTGAACCACCTGACACATTCTGTTGTCCGCTGTTCTGTGAAGCAGAAGAACCAGTAGTATTTGGAGCAGGTGGTTTTTGAGGTCTCTGTTGATCTGATAGCGATGGTTGACGAGGTGGTTGCGGCCTGGACGGCAGGTCCTGCATTCCGAAAGAAGATTGTTGCGTCTGCGCTAGTCTCATTTGTTGATCTTGCATGCTGCTAGGTGGTTGTTGGGTAGTTTGCGAACGTGCTTGACCGAATGCAGTCTTCACCACTTGATCTTGAGGTGGATTCGAGGGACTGAAGACGGATTGCGACCCAGAAGATAATTGAGACTGAGATATTCTTCTTGATGCACTAGAATGAGTGACATAGATTTGTACTTATCATGATGAAAACTATGAGACTACAAAAGTTGATGTGTCTTCAAAGTTACTAAAATTAGTCAGCATTTGTAAACTTTAGTACAAGTTCTTAGAAAAATATTTTTCGATGTGAATAAAATTAGGATTAACTCGCTTTCAGAGCTCATCTATTCACAGGATCGCCAGAACCCTTCAACTCACGTTCTCCCCATTTTCAGGTATATATCTTATTTAGACTAAGTTTGCAAAACGAATACTAGGAAACATTTACGCTTTTTCATCAAATACTACTTGTTCTTTCTCAGAGTTCAGTTACAAAATCCAAACCCTGCCACTATCTGTGCAAGTAATTCAGAACAATTTCGTCACCTTGTCATCACCCAAACAATCGGTTTGTAGGCTTCAGTACTTTGTCTATGTGGAGAAATGGTATGAATTAAGAAACAACTTGGAAAATGGTAAATAAATTCCAAAATAACATTTGTTGAAGGTAGGAGAAAAGGTACATAAAGGGATTTCAGCTTCGAAACTAAACGTTTCAATGGATCCATTCTGGAGATTTAGATGATGGCGTTTGGGTGAGCTCAGCTTTCAAGAGCAATGATTTGAATGTAATTACTTTTTCTTAATATCATCCATGCCTGACTGATTTTGTAAAAATACGGGTCATGGAGGTCAGAGAAGGTAAAGGCTTAATCCATCATGCTTCATCTCTAATCAATACTGCAAGTAGCAGGCTAAAATTAAAAACATATCAACAAGAACGAAATTTCTTAATCAAAAAAGGATGAAGAAAACACTTTATATCATTTGAGAAGTATTTTCTGCAATCCAGAGACCGAATACGTGGTAGCCATTTAATAAATATCGTGCAACACGAATAGAGAATTGAAATGAAGCAAGACTCTTTGAAACTTTGGTGCTATTCCCACTGTTGTTTTAATTACCACCTCCTACATATCAGTCACTTCCTTCATTTATAAATTGAGCAATACTTATAATATCATCCTGATTGAATTTTCTGATAGCAGGAGAATGATTGCGATCGTTATGGAGCATTAAATACTCGACCACGTTTCTGCCATTATATTCTCGTTAATCCCTATTTATGTTTATCTTAAAGTAGGTTAGTTAGGATAACAATACAGTAAGCACTTGCCAATGGAAGCTTTCTAAGGGAATTGTAGATAATAGAATGTAATTGTGTCTTCAATTGATTGCTTATTTATACACTAAAAGTAATATGACAGAAAAATTACTGACTCTATAACAGACTAAACGGTTATGTTTTTATCATGTAGAAATAAGCGCCATGGTAACCTCTATGGTTTTTGTCATTACACGCATTCTCCGGACTCCAAAGCGCTACCGTGGCTGAAAAGAGGAATCTCACGCGCACTTAGACAGACTCGAAGTTGTGGCCAAGCTACTTGGCGCATAGGGAGCAAGTGCGGTCGTGCGTGCGGAGACCTCTTAGCCAACCACCAATCAATAATCGCTGCATGGTTTAAAAAGCCTTCATCATATATGCCATATGTAGTGCACGTTTATTTGAGATGTCTGCCACAGGGCTTAGTCATTAAAATGCAATGATTGGTTTGTTAAATCATGCATAGACTATTGGTTGGTGGGTGGGAGGTCTTTGCGGTAATGCAAAGCGTCTCTTTTCTCTACATCGTTGAGGCAGTTTAGGTAACTTAGGCAACCTTTCCACACTATGGAATCTTGCCATGAGGATTACTGAGGATATGTTAAGTCTTATTCGTGTAGCAATCCGCCACAACACTAAAAGGAGAATTAGAGAATGAAAATTGTTTTAAATTGTTATAACAAGAGCACAATATAAGCCCACTTTTCGACGGATAACTTTATGTTTACAATACAGGGGTATGCGATAGACTTGCCTGCACGTGGTGCACCCTGGGCAACGCATACTCATACGGCAAAAAGTCCATAAACAGGCAGTTGACTTCTGACTTCAATTACCATGATCTATTAACTGGCAGTTGACTTCTCTATGTCATATTCGGTCCATAAACAGGCAGTTGACTTCTGATTTAAAACTACCATCACCCCACTATATGCCATAATCGACTACTATCACGGTGCTCACCTCACCTTTTTCTAACTTTATGTCTGTCTCTTTTACATCTTGGAAACACTTTTCTGTTCCCACCCCTGAAGTCAATTAAAGGGCTAATGATAACTATCAAGATGCCTGCCATTTGGTATAAATAGATATGTTTACAATACAATACGTCTAAAAATTAAATTTTGGTTATTGGTGTTGGTGATTTAATGAATTTGGATCAATTATGGCGTCACCCTATCCATTCAAATATGTCGAGAGAGCGTACAGTCACCGAATTTAATTAAGGAACAATTAATTTCCCACAGAATTCATGTTCCATAAGATAGTAATTAATGAGTATTTCATTCTAGGCGAGGTAGAACAGAGTACTCAGCTTCGAAGGAATTTCAAATGACGTAAGTGACTGACAATCGGGTTCGGTAAGCCATTTATTATTGCCAACTTATATCAGTTATAGCATTCTGTTTTTTTTAAATTATTAATCATTTGCAAATTGGTGCTCACATATCTTCTACAACTGAAAATTCTAACTTACCCAGTTAAAGTTTTGTGCACGTATTCCATCTTCTGAATAAGGAGTTCAGCTATCCTTGCCCGATCTTCTTCCTGTCCATCACCCAACAGGAGGAAATCAGATCCATAAACCTTTAGAAAATGAAAAAAATATATTAAAATTTTATGTTTGTGCAAGGGAGTTTGTGGCATTCGCTTTCTTGGAGACCATAGGCAATTCACAATTACACTTACGATTCATAGCTAAGGTGGGTATTGTGCTATTAAATAGATTTGACATGGGTTCGCCTCATTAGCTCATTTAAACTTTCCTTTTTTGATGATTAGCGAACGGCTTAAGAATATGAAAATACTTCCATACAATTTTGTCACTAATCTGATAGACAATTTCACACTCATCATCAACTTCCTGAGATTATTATTATTCTGGGTCACCTACTAGTAATATTAAGTAGTATAGTTAGTATAGGCCATCAATAATATGACATCAGGTATCGTAGACCTACGTCTTGAATATAGTAGTCACCGTTTGCATCCTGCAAGGCCTTAACAGCGCACATATCCAATCCACCGAAGAGTTGGGAAATCTCCGTTATCCACTGATTGAATCTAAAATGAAAGCGAAATTTCTGTTCATATGATGCACTTTAAAATTATTTACACAGTAAAGCTCCAAATTCACGTTAATTAAATGAACGAAGCCCATATCTGTCGACAAAGCTAAGTTAGAATCATATGACATTCTTGGTAGTAATAAGAAACAACTGTATGTAGATTATCAAGTTAATCGCTCAATTAAATAGACTGTTTCATTCCAATGAGGAAAACTTTTGCTGAGGTGTAAATTTACTGCAACGCTTGGACTATTATTTGTGGCTTACATTAATGAGAGATAGAGTACCCAGGCTAAGTACTTTTAAGGGGGAGCAGTTAAACTCTTTCCCTTCAAACTTGATATTTTACATCTGAAAACTGCACATTATAAAAATTTTGAGCATATGAAATTCAGCGCTGTGTTGAAAAAAAATCGATACAAGTCCAATCTGCTGGCAGCTACTAGTTAAAAGACAGCAATACATTCAGTTAGTATGAGCAACTTTGGGAGAAAGCAAAATAAATTTTGGTGGAAAAAATTTAAATCATGCAACCTGGAAGTTAAGATGTGCAATTTGATAATTAATTATACTCTTAATGAGAAAGTGGGTGATTTAGGGTCTATATGGCTCCAAAAAGAGTCTTAGTACCCTGACACCTTCTTGATCGACTCCTATTCTATTCAAGTGCTCTCCCATGTTTGCAATACTTGAATGTTGTTTTGTTTACAGGCCTGAGAAATGATTGAAACGTGTTTCAATAAAGTGCAATGTTGTCGAGAAAGCAGAACTGTTAATATAAAAAAATAGTGTGGAGTGAAATTGTAATGAAGTCTTGGCAACATTTCCTCTTCATAAATGTAGTGTAAAGTTGAAGTAACCTATTCAAATAAATTAAGGTAGATTGAGAAGCACGGAAAGAGGCCTACTTTAGCTAACAAGCTTACATGGGAGAAATGGGGATTTTTTCAAGAACGGTTGACCCAGGTGACCCGAAGGATGGGTTGGAAATCGGTTTTCTCCTAAAATTTTAATGAAATTAAAAATAAATAAAGTAAGCAATAAGTATTGGATAAAGGAAAGATGAACATAGCCTTATTCACTTAAACTGATAAATATGTAAACGAAAAATACAGCGTAAAATAAAAAATTATATTTGTGGAAATTAAGTTATTTCTAAAAATTACATTATTCATAGTTAATGCAAGGTCACGTCTTGTTTGCGATACAATTTTCCCTGATGGTTAAGGTGATAACTGGCGGGATCTTCGCTGTTGAAAGAGCTTTTTACAAAGAGATGACATTAAACCTCCATTCGTTTATTGCTTAATTAACACATTTTGAATATTATGGAAATGAATTCACTCATGAATCTAAGTCGCGAATTCCGAAATGACCTCGTGAACTGCACCCACCAATTAAAACGTTAACGCAGTCAGGCACTTTTGATAACCAAACCAATTATCAAATTCTTTTGCTGTTTATGAGTGCAAATGTACATTGCTTTTTGACTAAGTATTGCGTTACTTGTGAAGAGAATTCGACAAATAATAAATCATACTTTATCTTCTAAAATAAGAAACTTTCAAAATATCCAAATTTCGTATAATATCCTAATTTCAAATGTTTTTGTTGATTTGAAATCTTTCACCTAGATTTACGATTGGTTTTACACTTGCTCGGTATTTGGGAGTTCATGATATGTACTAAAGTATAATAGTTAGGTTTAGGCCTTAATAACTAGTGTTTAAGATGATACGAGAAAATCTGAGTATATCGGTATGGAATAATGTAATTGATTTTTCAGCATATTTTCAGTAGTTTGGTATTAGTGTTTGAAGTGGTTTCCGTCATCTTTCCCAGAGGAAGGCAATTAATTACCACTAATTATTTATAAACTGCCTTCGTCCTGACCCTGGTTTTAGACAGACAATGGCAAAACGGCATATTTTTCTGTTCCATTGGCCCGTTTCGTGGGTATGAGCTATTCACCAAGTTCTCTTTTTAGACTAACTACATTTATTTAGTCTAATTGAGTTTAATATGTTAATGTACCTATTTTTAAATGCAAAAGCACAAACTAGAATGGTTAATTATAGGAACAACATCTCCTGTTTCGTTATATCATCTGTTCAGTTCCAAAATAACCGAACGTTTTATGGTACTAAACACTATTTATGATCGTCCAATAACAAGGTTGTGCGCAACGTTATGTTTAAATCAACTTTAATGGTGCAACTTATCTGATTACGGGCATTAGGTACTACAAAGTAACTGACTAATCGTTCAATTACGTCAGTCTATAGGTTTCGTATTTGGCGAATATATGCTTATTGAAAAAAACTCTTGGAGAAAACCAAGAGAACTGAGCTCCGATAAGCTTTAATGTCATTGAGTAAACAATACCCCAAATGGGAAGCAAATAACACAACGTTTCCGGAATTCAAACAGTAAGACAACACCTGTCATCTAGACTGCATTTTTAAATCGATTGGCCTCCTTTCACTCTCCATCGGACTGTTCTCCCATTTATTATGTACATATACCATTCCATAATTTAATTAAATTTAACTTTTAAAAGTGGGGTGCGTGATAGACTTACCTCCACGTGGTGCACCCTGGGCAACGTCAATAGACTTACCTCCACGTGGTGCACCCTGGGCAACGTATAATCATACGGCCATACGGCAAAAAAAGTCTATTAACTGGCAGTTGACTTCTGACTCAATAAAAAAGTCTATTATTCGGCAGTTGACTTCTGACTTCAAAGCGGCAAAAAAGTCTATAAACCGGCAGTTGACTTCTCTTCATGGCAAAAAGTCTATTAACCGGCAGTTGACTTCTGACTTCAGCAAAAAGTCTATTAACCGACAGTTGACTTCTGACTTCAACTCATACGTCAAAAAGTCTATTAACTGGCAGTTGACTTCTCACTTCAAAAAAAGTCTATTAACCGACAGTTGACTTCTCACTTCAAACTATCATCACCCCACCGTATGTCGTATTCGACTATTTCACAGTACTCACCTCGCCTTTGTTCTACCTTTGTGTCTGTCTCTTACATCTTTGAAACACTCTTCTGTTCCCCCCCCCCCCCCNCCCCCCCCTATCTCGAATTTTTTTCAATTTGACGTTCCTTCCCCTCTGTGAAGCCTGACGTCAACTAAAGGGCTAATGATAAATATCATAAAGCCTGCCATTTGATATAAATAAATAAACTTTTGAAAGTTGAGGTGTGAGCGTACATAAAAGCTTTTACGAAGGGCCCGATCTTTTGGATGAAGACTTCACAGACACTCTGAATACAGGGTTCCGTGGTTGCGTAGCGCTGCGTACTGTTTGCCAAACTCGTCAGACTCTGAAATAGGGCCGTGTCCTCCACTCGAACCTAGGATTAAATATAAAGCATTAAGAAAACTGCTAATACCTAATTGGCAATTGAAGAAAACTCATTTCCCTTAACGAAAAAACGCAAGCATAATTTAATATGTGAAATCGATTCAGCTAATTCTCTTTCATTCCTCATGATATTAGATTTGCAGCGGATTGCAACACCAATAATCCCTGACTATACTCAGTAATCACTATGGCAGATTTTCCTAAGTTTGGAAATGCTCCCAGATATAGCTAAACTGCCCCAAAGCATAAGAGGAAACAGACTGATGATGTAGAAAATATTTATTTGGCATTTTCCGTTTATAGACGGGGAACTAAGTCAGAGTACAGACTATCTGGCATGAACACCACTTATGATTTTGGCCGTTGATTGGCCGAGAAGCCTCTGTTTTCCCCATGCTAAAAGTTGTATTCCCACAGATTATCGTGGAAAAAATAAAAACACTCCGAAGTTATTATTCTTCAATCCATTAATTTAGTTAGTTAAAGTATGACGAAGGTAGAAAAGCCAGGAGAAAGGTTCATTGTATTATATGATTTTATTTATTATTTGAATTTTAATTTTCTGATTGTCTAAATGTACTAGTTGAAAGAGGTTGCAAAAAGTAAAATAGAAGTATAAATAGTTTTAACCAAAAATAATAATAGCAAAATATAATAAACGTTATAATTTTGTGAAGCGACTAACACCAAAATACAATAAGTCAAAAAATGCTAAAGAGGAGCGAACCAGAGAGGGAGAGAGAGATCAACTTTAAAAGCATTTGTGGGACACACACGTTATCGCTGTGTGCGTCATCGTATGCCTGCATGTCTGCTCGCCAGGATTGGGAGGTGCGGCCGTACAAACAATGACCAATCATCAACCTCTGTTTAACCTAATCCCATACAAACAGTGACCAATCATTAACCTCTGTTTGTTTAACACTAGCCTCTGTTTGTTTGACCTAATCCGCCATCCTGATCATGATTAAGCTCCCTGCGTATCTGTTTGTTTAACCTGATCCGCCATCCTGATCATGATTAACTCCCTGCGTGTACACACTATCCACAATATACTAACTGAATAAACGTGCTCCGTGCTAACAATATACATCCTGAATAAACGTGCTCCGTGCTACACGTCGAATATACGTCCTGAATAAACGTGCTCCGTGCTACGCGTCTCTTCCCTTATAGCTGGGCTATAGGTTAGCTTGTTCTGGGAGTCTAGGCAACACGTCTGTTTCCTTTATAGCTGGGCTATAGCTTAGCTGAATTATACGTCTGTTTTCTTTATAGCTGGGCTATAGCTTAGCTAGTTCGGGAGTCTAGCTAGATGTAGGAGAATCTGCCAGAGATTTCTCGGGAGTCTAGCTAGATGTTGGAGAATCTGCCATAGAGACTATCTTGCCATCGAGATTTCTGAGTCAGTCAGGCTTTACTAAGGTGTTTAGCTGGTTCTGGGAGTCTAGCTAGATGTAGGAGGATCTCCCATTGAGATTTCTGAGTCAGTCAGGCTTTACTAGCGTAGCCAGAGATTTCTGAGTTAGTCAGGCTTTACTAGAGTAGCAATATTTCTGAGTCAGTCAGGCTTTACTAGCGTAGCAATCCGTGGAGCTATAGCTTAGCTGGTTCTGGGAGTCTAGCTAGATGTAGGAGGATCTGCCATAGAGATTTCTGAGTCAGTCAGGCTTTAATAAAGTACCAGTCCGCTACACATTAAAGACACTTCAGTTGATTTTTGAATTCGGATCGTATAAGATCGACTTAGCGGCTAGATCACCTTTCTCAATTTCAATTTACTATGAATAATAATTATTTCTTCATAGTTAGCAGTAATCTCGTAAAACTATAAACAGGTTTATCGGAAATTGTGTACTTTCAATCATGCGTAATAGTAATTTTGTGCATAAATACGATACATTCTTGAAGGCAATATGATTTTATACTCTTTAAGAATGCAATAAATGCTCTAAAACGCTTCTGATTGCATCAAAATTACTAAAATGAGAATGATAATAGTTGATATTAAGCTTTAGATTATGATTTGAAATGAAATGATCTTCCCTATTCAACCATATAATAGCTTTTAATTAATAATTGGAAGATCGATTTTAACTTGTTCAAATTTAATTTTGATTGAATGAGAGAATAAAATGTTTTTTTAAATAAAATGATTAGAAATAGGGCAAACTCACTTCACATTCACGAGCTGAGTCCCCGCCAAGTCGAACGGTAACAGGCAACGGAAAATCCGGTTGCTATAGCAAAGCAAATAAAACAAAAGAAATAAGCGCAATTCAGCGAGAGCAACTTCTCTAATGCCCTCCTTTTATTGATCAATATATTTCATGATACCTACGTAATATTACTGAAGAATATTATTTGTTACTGAACTGACATTGAGTCTAATAAATGCACATGCAAATGCACATCGCTAAAAAATTTCTTCCGTCTTTATTTTACTCCATTTAGCTGACGTGACTGGCATTCGTACTGTCAGCGCCTAGTCGGAACATCTGATCTCTTTGATACTCAATGTCTTAAGTATAACGGGCTTGAATATTACGTCAAATGTAATTTGTTTGTAAATATTTAAGACTGGTATAATATATTGAATTCAAATTAGTCACTAGGTGCTTTGAATTTTTCCACACCACCCTCAATGCATCACAGTGAGGCACACACACATCATATTGCTTGAAATATCATAAGCGATTGTGAACCGTTCAATTCTAGGAAAAAAGCGTGAAGTTCGTTAATATTTATTTGATAAGATTGTTGCGTGACTATTATTGCACTCCAAATATTAACTAAATTTGATATTGTTTTTTTTCATAAATAATATATGACAGCATGGGGTGTGCAATAGACTTACCTCCACGTGGTGCACCCTGGGCAACGTATACTCATACGGCAAAAAGTCTATTAACCGGCAGTTGACTTCTGACTTCAAAATACCATGGCCCCACTGTATGCCATATTCGACCACTTCCCCAGTACTCATCTTACCTTTTTCTTTGCCTTTGTGTCTGTCTGCCTCTTTTACATCTGTGAATCGCTCTTCTGCTCCCCTTCCTCGACTTTATGCTACTTCGATGTTCCTTCCCTCTGTGGAGCCCGTAGTCAACTAAAGGGCTAATGATAGCTATCAAAACGCCTGCCATTTGAAATAAATAAATAAATATATGACAGCATTCGTAAACAC